GTGGCTAAAGCTCTTCCCATCGGGTGCCGCCAAGGTGATGTAGTGGCAGTCCGTCGCAGTAGTGCAAGGTTGGGAAAGAGGAACGCGAGCGTGGCGGCGGCGGCAGCGGGTTGCGTGCGTACAGAAGAAGACTCTTTTCTTAGCTCCTAAGCTTCTATTTTCAACCCAATCCTCATGCAGCAATCAAACGCCTATTACATATGGGACCAACTAAACAAATGGTCCACATGCGCACCAGCCCAATCTCTTCACCGGATTGACGAGTAGAGAAGTGATGCGCGCCAAATCAGCAAGCAGAGGAATGAGCAGACCCGCACGCGTTTTTTCTTCGTCGCTAAGCATTGTTATAATCCTACATTGACACGCCAAGGGCTCGCCCCTTCTCTCGGGCTTATTGGTTTTAATGTGTCAGTGCCTCGGTGGGTGGGTGGGTGCATGAGGCACATGCTCTCATGTGCATGGCATCTGTGTTTTTAGTCATTGAGGCGCGGTCCATTGCCACTCAAGCAAATTAATAATGCTCGCTGATGTCCACATTTCAAATTTCAACATAAGAATTTCCATCCTTGTCTTTCTGTTAGTCATAACTGTTTACTCTTCCCGTATCCCCCAGTGGTTTGTTTGGCTGGCCTCTTTGAATGCTTACTACATGATAATTATTTTTCTACTTTACCTGCTATAATATATGTATTATTATTCTTCCTCATTTTTCTTTGTTGATGATGATTCCCTGAAACAATAGCAATGAACATGCTACTATTTCAGATGCTTTTGCTATCAAAATCATGGCTTGCTGATACTATATTGTCTTTGTGCATGGAAATTATGGTTTGTAACTTGAAATCTTTATCAGATGACATTCTTGTAAACTGTAGGGTTGAACAAGAATGTGTTATTTCTATCTAGTTCTGAACTGTATTCTTTAGCAACAGAGAGGAAGCTGTTGCTGGTTTCAAAAACGAAACTGAAAGAAAATAAAAAAGCAAGTCGTAATTGACTGTTTCCAACTTCTACTCCTTATAATGTACTCCCTCTGTCCTATAAATATAAGATGTTATTACAACCAATATACTCATATACTGGTTGTAATAACATCTTATATTATGGGACGGAGGAGTATTTTACCTATTTCAAGATAAGAAATGTGGGAGCATTACCGCATTCAGTGAAGGAGAAGAATGCAAACCTTCAGCAGCATAATGCTGTTATCCCCATTCATTTGCCAAATGCCCTTCATGTTAATTTTGAGCAGCTGATGCTCGCTTAGTATCTTCAGTTCCAGTAACCTCCCAATGTTGGGTTTGTGGTATTAACTTTGCCTTTTGCAAATATAAGATGCCTTTTCATGGAAATTTTAGCTACCGTTGGGACTTCCCTGCTGTTTGGTGCCCAACGGAATTTTCACCATTTAGAATCCTTTTAAAACATTTGTTTTGTTGTTATAAGAAGCTATGTAATTTGCCTGGTGGAGTTGTCACCTTGAGCTGTTTGGTTTTGTTGTGCAGCTGTGATGGAGACTGAAGGGTTTAATTACCTGGAGGAGACTTGCCCATCCTTGCTGTCTGATTTGTTAGCAACCGTCGCAGTAGTGGATGATGATCCTGCATCTGTTAACCGGAAAAGGGGAGTTTGTATCAATGAAGATGTGAATCCCGTTGAAAGCGTTGAGGCTAGTGACAGGCGCACCCGCAGGAGGGTGTAGGCGGAGGCTGTCAACTAATGTAGCTTTTTGCTGTCTCCCATGAATTTTACTATGGCTGGAGTTATGTCAAGTGCTCTGTGACAGGAACTTTGATTTGGATGAGAGCAACTTGTGAATAATCTCCAGCATTGACGGCTTTCTGTGGCCTTAGTTGCAACTCTGTCTATTCATTGACATATTGTATGTCGTATTTAGGTACTCCCTTCATAAAGAGATATAAGAATATTTCTTTACGGAGGGAGTAATAAGCAATGCCGGATTCCACTGCTTTCCAAGATGGTTGTTTTCGAAATGAATGAATCTAGTAAGGTAAGCTTCTATACTACTCCCTCCGTTCCTAAATATAAGTCTTTTTAGAAATTCCAACAAGTGACTACATACAGAGCAAAATGAATGAATCTACACTCTAAAGTATGTCTACATATATTCGTATGTAGTTTGTATTGAAACCTCTTAAAAGACTTATATTTAGGAACGGAGGGAGTATGTACAAATCGATTTTCCTCCTTTGGGGATTTTTTGGGGCTCCGGTTGGTTTTCCTCGGTTTGATGTATGTAATTTGGGGACATGGGTGCATCGTGTTGAAGTGTATACATGGATTGCATAGCTTTTTTTATCAGTTTGGACTTTTGATTTCGTTGTTAGTGCATGAAGCTTAACATAATATCAAAGCTTAAGGTCTTAAGTTTAAGTTTTGTCTTTTGTAATTTATTTAAAAATTGATGTATTTGTGCTGGTCAGTGCATGAAGCTTAACCCTCTTGAGGTTTTCTTTTTGATTGCTTTGTTTCGTTTAGTCTACCAATGGTTCTAAAATACCCCCTCCGTCCTGTAATATAAGAGTGTTTTTGACTCTACACTAGTGTAAAAAACGCTCTTATGTTGTGATACTACACTAGTGTAAAAAACATATTTATCGTGATACTACACTAGTGGAAAAAAACGCTCTTATATTGTACGGAGGAAGTATTTTATAGCGGGCCCTATAAGACTGTAGCGGGCCAAAAAACAGCCGCCCTGATTACCGTCAGATGTGCAGCCTGGCCTGTCTGGCCCTCTCATGTTTTTCTTCTGCTTTCACTCCCTCCTAGCAAAGCTTGTGCGGCACATGGTTCCTGAGAACATATCCTATGCACATCCAATGCACCAGCAAGTTTTGGGCCAATAGATGAAAAAGGAATGGCCCAGATTTGGTCACGGATTAGACTATAGCATTTTTGCTGAGGCAACCTTTGACTTTATAAAAATCAACCCGCACTCCACATGTCTCGCTCCTATAAACATGCACATTCAGATTTTTCTCGTCTCAAACACAAAAAAGTGATATATTTTAAATAGAATGTATGATTTTGGATTGGTTCTGACTGTGGTGTTTCTCTTGCCGAGACCTTTGAAACGATATCAATGTTGAATATATTTTGGAAAAAAAATATTTTTGTTGCTTTTTAAACTGTACTCAAAACTTGATGTATGGTCAAAGATCTCACTAAAACAAAGATGTCGGTCAAAACAATTCCAAAATAAGACACCTTATTCCAAATATATTAGCCGGTTTATTTGGACAGAAAATAAATAAGCAAACAACTTTATTGATGAAAGGTCGAGAATGTGAGATATGGAGTGAGGGTTGCTTTTTGAACAATAGAAGGACTGTTTTGCAAATGTACCAACCATCCATCTCTCTAGCCAGCTCATCTTCCTCTATTTTCTATCCAATGGCTCATCTAGCATCGGTGCATTGGGTGCATGAGTTAGGCAGGTGCACTGGATACGTCCTCCATGGTTCCTCCCATCTTGTGGTTCGTGTGTTCCCGCTGCAGCAGCCCTCTTGTGGCAGCCATTGCTGCAACATCATGTATCCAACTCGGTGCGATTGTAGCAAAAAATGTGCTGATGCCCTCAGGTGCCTGCTTGTAGTGGCGCCGAGTGCTTCGTCCCGAGGGTCGGCATTATACCCAATAGCATGGTGGTCCTCGCAGTATCGGCTCACAGCATGACGACGCCCACACAACGCTGGCTTGCTGCAACGTCACCAATCACGACACCCCCGACGACCTCGCAGTAGCGATTCCAACATCATTGGACACCCTCGCAGCAGCCAGCAACGGAAGCATGCTCGAAGCATAGCAACATCACCGGATGGCGCCTCTCACAGCAACACCGCCATCCACCATAGTAGTGGTCGTAACACCATTGCCCTGTTTTGCAGCGGCGGCCACTCGCTCTATCCTCGAGATCGCTTGGGGAGGTGCATGATGCTAGTTGGGCATGGTAGCTCGTCGCGGCCCATGTAGCTCCTGGCGGCCTACAGCAACGGCCCTGCCCAGGTCTTGTAGTAATCTATGCTTCACAACTCAACTTCGGCAGCAACAACGATCCGCTCCCCTGCCTTGCAGCAATCGGTGCTACGTTGCGCAGCCGATGGTCTGAAGGTGGTGGGAGGAGAGCGGAAGAATAGGGATAAACGGTGGAGAGGTGGAGAAGACGATCGGTAATGATGGGAGCACATGGCTTTGTAGGAACACTTGTTGAAGCCAAATGCACGCGACTGAAAACTGCGCGTTATCAGCCAGCTGTAGTCAAGTATAAAAAAGTATTTTTCACTTTTTTCGGTCCACCGCTCTCACAAAGACTCCACGTGAATCCGTGCCATCACTGCGCCATCCTTATTTTAATTTTGATGTTGAATTCAAAAGCCACATCTTTCTTTAAAAATATTCAAAACTGAATCATTTGCACATCATGCATCGTTTTTTGCATGCAATTTCCTAATATATGTTACACAAAGAAATCACACAAACTAGACCGAGGGCAATGGAATCATTTTTCTGTTATAGACGCTCGAAAACAAGGGGCAGATAATTTCGGATTTGGAAACCACGCGAGGACAAACGTTATAGACGCCTGGTACTTTCCTTTTTGAGGGGTCTGCTCATCCGCGCTAGCGAGCAAACATGCATTCGCTGTCACGTCCATGAATGAATACTTTCTAGGTTGGTTGTTTTGAAATTGAATGCCCCCGCAATTATTTTTAAAAAATCGAATGAATAATTAGTTTATAGGCATCTTTCATATGATGAACTTCTGGTACACAATGCATCCCTTTCACACCATAGCATTTCACGGTCCTGTGATCAAAGTATATTCTGTAACAGCATAAGCAACTCTGGGTTGCCATAAATCTCAGAGAAGGAAACAGATGTCTGCAATGAATAATGTTGTTCTTCTGCACACTCTTATTGAAATGGGAACTGGACTAGCCGCAAGGCGGCACTTGTCTGAACACACGGCAATGGAATCATCTCCTCTGCAACAGGTGCATCAGTGGGCAAAGGATCTGCATCTGGTTTGAACATTTGGAAGCCTGCAAACAAGGCGCCAGATATGAGATTCTTAGAAACATACGTAACTGGTCACACACATTCTAGCTACCAGGGAACTATGATACATACCTCGACTACAAAGCGAGCCCAGAGCTGGCCAGAACGATGCTCCAGCTCCCCCTTCAGTATGCTGACCTCAAGGCCCTTGAACAGATGCGCAGCATCGAAAAAGACGTCATACTCCTTGCATAATATCTGGGCACAAAATGATTTCTATGGTTCAGGTAACATGGACACGGTTACAAATGCAATGATGAAAACTAGTGCCTGCGGCGTTATATAGTGACCTCAATGAGAAGATGACCAGGTTCCTCGAGCTCTTCCACTCTCAGCGGGCAGTTTTCCAGTTTCTTCTTGGCCTCGTTACCGAACTTCTCATTTCTTGTTTTGTTCTGAAGCTGCTTCAGTGACATGGTATGCACTTGTTATTCGGCCACCACACTATCTCTTAAAAACTTGCATGTGGAAAAGTATGGTGCAAAAAAACAGGCAATAGCACATTGTGGTTTATAGATTAAGAAAATGAATAATTACTATCTCAGGAAATGAAGACAGGATACTGCACGCTTGTTTAAATATAGTAGCATACAGATCCAAGTCCAAGAAAAAAGGTTTAAATTCTCAAACTAGTCCTAACGGGTTCCACTCTAATGTTTTTGTTCTAAAATTTCTAAGTTGGAAAGACAAATGGTCAGATCTTTAGGTAGCCTTAGCTGGGAAGTCACATAGTCCTATGATGAGAATTCACTATGCTATGAAAACGAATTCGATGAGCATTATAATTCACATCACACGATTTCTGCAAATCGTTGGTTTCTGAATTTTCAGTATCACACATAAATTTGAAGAAGCCCACCTTCTCAGCTTTCTCGGATACACTTTGGAGGAACAACATTTGTGTTATTGTTTTGTCCAGGAGAGCATCAATGCTGCACTGTTTTTCGCAACAAGATACAATCAATGCACTTTTTGTTTGCAAACAAACACAATTGAAAAGAAGGAGATACATCAACTATTAGAACTCAGAAGCCAGACCTTTGATGCATTTGGAATGAGCTCCCTCAACTCCTTCATCCTGTCTTGAATCAGTTGTCTGTCTCTCGGTCTTGGTCTGTGCAGTTCTTTTTTTCCGCCTTCATGCTTTATTTCAACTGAAATTTCCATGTGCATGTCTTGAATTGTATGACCCACGCATTCTTCAGTCATGGTCCTGTTGATTCCCTTCGGGAGCGAAACAGTCATTTTGGAAGTCATGAAGCCTTCTTTGACTGAGGCAGGTGAAAATTCTCGACCACCAAAGGGATCTGGGATTGCCGATTCCTCCAACCTCAGTGCATGATCTTCTCTCTGTATTTGTGTTCCGCATGAAGTCGAAGAATCCAACCTCAGTGGATGATCTTCTCTCTGTATTTGTGTTTCGCTTGAAGTCGAAGAATCAGTCGAGTGATACGAGCAACTGTTTGGGATATTGCCAACCTGGTTGGTTATAGCATCCACTAAGAATTCAGCACAATCATTGGCCTCGAGGTGTGAGTAAGAATATGCTTTATTTCCATTCGCTTGAAGGAGAGAGTGGCTTGTAGACTCTTGTTGTTTCAATCTACCATGCCACATGAAGCTCTCAAGATCTTCCCTGGGAATTGCCTCAAGATCTTTGTGCATCTTTGAGTGAATTGAAGAGTTTGAAGTTACAACATCATCATTTAAAACTACAGTGCTGCCACATGTGTGCTCCTGATATTCTTGTGCCATATATGCCAGGATAAAATCATCAATATTATTATAATCTGCATCTTGTATGTTAATTACTGATGTGCAACTCAGTTTGCTGTTGGAATTGATCAACTTATCCATAAATGAGAGGTTTGTCATCTCCGGGTCAACCAGTGTCTTGCAGTGAGTGAGTTCAGATGGTGCTTCATGAACATTGGTCCACAGATCACTCTCATTGGCATCGAAGGTTTCATCTGAGCAAGTTGTTAGACCAATATCGTACGCTCCTGTAATGACATCTTCTAACATTGGAAACTCGGACGGAGTGAAGGGATGTGGTAGACTAAGGTGTTCAATGGTAAATAGCTGAGCAGAATTGTTGATCACATCAAATAAGTCATCGGCCAGAACATCTGCGGGATCCACCGATATATCTGCAGTAGGTTTTTTCAAAGAATTTGAGTAGCAGAACCCTGTGGCTGAAGGATTATGAGGAATTGAGGGGTTGTAAATCTTATAGAACAGGTCCTTCATGTGTGTCGCCAGTGCTGAACTTTCCAAAACCTGAGGCTTGAGAATTTTTTACACTGATTAGTCACAAGTAAGAGACAGAGACCTTGTGAAGGAAGAGCCTCAATATATTCTATGTGAAGATTGTTGCACATCAAGTCTGAGCAATTGATGTTGTTTTTGCACACAATATGCTGATTATGCAGCAATAGTGTGAGTTCCCTAAACAATGCTGCTGAGGAGGTACAGAACCAGCTTGGTTTCATTCTAGAAATGGAACTAGAACTGGAACCCGCAAAAGTCTCTAAATCATTTGATTCTCTTACTTAAATATGATAAATGCACTAATGCATTTAGGAAACATGTGGGTACAATAATAACGACTGAACATACCATACATAAAGATCCCAGGTGAAGAACCCCATAAGGAATCACTGGTACAAGTAGAACTGTCTACATATAAGAAATAAGAATTGCCACGTTAGCCATGCAAGTCTGCATTTGCTGGTTGAACACAAACATACATTGTTGGAGAGGACAACTGAAGTGAAAATAAGTGGGTCTTACTTTGATTCCTGCTGCAAACTGAAATTGCCAGTCTTCGTGATACTGAAAAAAGTAAAGTTTGTGAAATCACTTGAAGTGCTATGCAAGTTCCAGAGAGTTGTGGTGTGGAACAAAAAGCGTAAATTTAGCTCACCTTGTACACCAAAGTTGAAGGAAGATCACTGGAAGAAATCCAGCAATATTGTCCCATAATGGCCACTTTACCAATAATTCTGTTGAAGTTGAAATTATTAGAGAATCAAACAGTTTATGTGACGTTGATTATAAGAAGTTGAACAACGCGCAATCATGCTTACTCTTCTCCAAGAGAATACGAATGACTAGACATGCGCAGTAATGCTGCCTCGATGGGGCAAAATGGATAGCTTTGATATTGGCCATCGTTAGACCAAGTAGGTGTCATTATCTGGTTGTCACTATCAGCTGGGTCCCCGTGATGATCTCTCGTGTTTTTGGTCATCTTGTCGACGTAGCCATCCTCCCAAGTCAAGATGCTGAAAGTTAATTTACAAATGATGCAACTGAAAGAGTGATAGTGATTAACGACAAATAAGACTAACAGTTGCAAATTTTAGATGGTATATACTTTATATGATAAGAATATTTTTAGTCCTGTTACATTTGACGCACCAAGTTGGTTCAGTACTACTGTCCTACAGATAAGCAAAAAATCAAGAGAACAAACAGTAGGACTTACCCGTGCTTCTCGCTTTTGATTGACCAAAATACTGCATACTTCCATAGACCATCAGAACACAAGCCTCGCAGCGATTCTGTGTTGAACCCCATGTGCTCACAGCTCAAACCTCATGCAACAAACACAGCAAAGAGAAGTTGCAGACCGGGAGCAAGCTGCCAGAAAATACAGAGGGGCTAGCTGCAACGGTAAGATGCTCGGCCTGCTTGCTTCCACCGTAGACAAGCTCGTCGTTTGATCAATTTGTGAGAGAAATCTAGAAGCACAACTCCCATAACTCTGCCTCCCTCACTACTCCCTTGCAGTGCAGGCCTTCCCTTTGAAGCACTTCCGAGATTAAAAGTAGGACCCACAAGAATTGCAACCACGGCAGGCAGATATCTTGGAGGTTCTGCAGGTTACTGCCATCCAAAAAACTCAGTGCCCGGGCTTATGTTCAAGCGGCAACATCTTGATGGCAGCTTGTAAAGACCTGAACACAAGAACATGAGGTTTCCCACTTGAGAGTCTGCTGCAGGTTTTTGGTTCAGAAATCATGAATAATTACTTCGAGAAACGTAGGAGAAATATAAGAGTGAAGAAATGTCCGTTGGGAAAATAGATGATCCGCTTATGCTCTCTAACTAGTACATATCTAAGCATGTGGGTCATGAGATATGGAAGCTAACCAAGTTCGTACTTCTTACAGTTAATTGGCATGTCCCCTAAAGACAAAGGAATGGAGAAAAAAAAAGAGGGGGAGGCTTCACCAAGAAGAACGCTCCCCTCTTGATGTACAAGAAATCACAAAAAGGTCGCCAAGGAGTTGATTTGATTCTAGCTAGCAGAGGTTTCTGTGAGACCTGGAACTTACTGGAATATGATGAATCCGTAGAAGTAAGCAAACGACAAACAGATGAGAGGTGGCGCCAAACAAGCAGGTGCCTTTGAGAGTTTGAGGCGGGCCTCTTATCAACTCCACTTATATAATTTTCAAGGGAAAGAACCCTTTCAGCCACCAGCTGTCCTGTTATTAGTTAAAATAAAAATAATACGGAACATGATCTACCAAAATACAAGTACTATATTCTCTGGTGTAGTAGAATTTGCAGTTAGTACAAAAGTTGAACAATCAACAATGTGCCCCAGAAAAATAGAATTGCTTTCTATATAAAAAAAACATAGAACTGCTAGTGCAGAGTGGAAGACATATCATATCATATCAGCATCAGGATATGAATATACTAATTCAAGTTGAAGACCCAAGGCAACGTGGCAGGAAAACGAGTTAGAACTAACGTTAAGCTTAAAACAAGGAGTTGGTAGGTACTGGACTCCAGCTAGCCCTGTGATAAGTCAAAACGTTCTATATTGGTTTGTGATTTTCCTTTTGCAGAATGAGTCAACTTCTTCCATCACCAAACATGACATACAATAAGAAGCAACTGCACAGCCATACAACATCGAATAAAACACAGAACAATACAACAAGGTAGGGGGGAAAATAAACACTCCATGATGTATCAGTAGTACCTAGTCCTGATTTTGATTGAAAAGGGCCAAAAGGCCTATGTTTAGTATTCGCTTTCCTGTATATCGTCATGACATAAGCTGATAAGGATCCAGCACGGCCAAAGGGGATGCAACCTGCTGATCAGTTTTAGAGAACGTCTAAATAAAGAAATGGAAACCAGTCTGTCTGCATATGTGCTGTTTATTTTGATTCCATACTTGTGGTTCAGTTGGTCCAGTCGTAGAATATTTCAACTGGAGGATGATTACATTATCTGATGCCAACATCATTTCCCTACATTATCTCCTTTTATCAAATAATAACTCAGGCAACTCTTGAATGCCTTCTCAAGTCAGCCACAACTTCTTTCTGTCAAGAGTCAACCAAGCCTGGTAGCAAGTAGATGGGCACGCACTCAGATTTCTCATGGTATTTTACTTCCATAATATACTCTTCTTCCAGACCCGGAATGAATTTAAGCGTGATGCCACATAATAGGCCTTTCAGTACAACTTTACAAAGTTACAGGTGCAGCTGGAAGCTAACTAAGGAAAATTCTGGTTCCTGGAATAGACATTGCACCAAACCTGCGAGTTTAATAATGAACTATGAGTCATTTTATTATGAGCGAGTGTAAAAACTATACATGTACAGTCATCAAGGCTAATAGCCAGTTATACACACCTCCTCGGTTCCAGCTACGAGGAAATAGGCACTGTCCCGCTGTTGATTCGTCAAAATGAGCACAATGTTCAACTGTAAGAACTACTCAGTTAATCAGTTCCAAACTTGCAAACCAAGTGCTACATCCTGGTGAGATTTTACCACCTCAAAAGTAAACATCAGTCAAGTTTCAAGCTTGCACCTCTATGTATAGAGCCATGCTAGAACCTTGGAAGAAAACTATAACTAGAAGAAATTTTTGTACCTTGGTTTGCTAATCCTCAGCTCTTTGACTTTTTTAGCAAAGTTAGCTGGAAATTAAATATGAATCAGGGAAATTCATAATTTTTAAGAGAAGTCCAATAACAGTTGAAGTTGGCTCGCCATTCTCTCACCAAAGATTATAGATGCTTCTTAGGGATATTTCCGCAGACCATTGAAGATTTTTTTTCCATGTATCTCCACCTAGAAGGACCTTGATACTTAGACCACTTCAATCTTCTTTGGAGGCATGACAGACTTGAAACATTTCCAGTTGCAGGGAAAACACAGTTCTTGTCGGCAAATAGACAAAGCACACAAAACAGCACTTACTTCTACTAGCATGGTGCTCCATCTGGACATGTAATATAAATTTAGGAGCCATCTTCTACCTCAGAGATGGTAAGGCATCTAAATTTTTTCCAGGACAACACTTTAAAACATGAGTAGCAAGGGTGAAATCCTATATATGTTTAATGTCCCACACCACTAAACTTTTAACGTGAAGCAGATTGATACTTAATGCAGGGAACTCTTAATACAAGAAGTGTGAAGCATAGAGATTTACCACAGACCTTTGTATTCTTGCATCTAAGAACAGATGATCTCCCTATTCTGAGCAGAAATATGAAAGTATAACCTTGAGGTGATCAAGTTTGTTGCATCCAAGATTTTGCGGACCTAATGACATAAGCACTTGTGGTTTCTCTCAAACAAGTACTTGTGGTTGAGTGAATGACTGATTTTGCGGACCTAAATATATTTATTCTGTTCCTGTTTTCTATTTAGTTTGTTATCTCTCACTCCTTCATGCAGTACTTCATAAGTAGGGTAACTAATGTGACCCTTCTTCATCAAGTCCTCAACAAGTATCTTTGGTGCAGCTATCTTCTTCTTATCAGCACTCAAGATGGTATCTACAACCTCGGGAACAACTCCAATTCTAACCATGACATGAATAACGCCCACAGCTTCCGTAATCTGACGGTTCACTGCGAGTGTATTTATTACACGGCCAAAAGTAGCCATTGATGGAATGAAACCCCCATTTATCATTTCCACGAGATGCTCGTATGCGCGGTCAACATTTGCAGTCTTGCATGATCCATCAATTAGGACGCGATAAGTATATGAATCAGGTCTATATCCCTTCTGGACCATCTTCTCAAAAATACTTTCAGCCATTTGCATGTTCAGTTGACTGCAATATGCGCTAATTAGGATATTAAATGTATCAGCTGTTGTGGAGTACCCCTTTTCCTCCAATTTTTGAAAAAGTACGTACGCTCCCTCAATCTCACCATTCCTACAAAATCCATGAATAAGTGTGTTGAAGCTAACTGCATCAGGAGCTAGTCCTTCTTGACTCATCCTCACTATCACCCCAGAGGCCTCTTCCAATTTATTGGACTTGCAGAAATTCTCTATCAATATGTTGTAGGTAATAGTGTTTGGTCGACATCCTTTAAGTGTCATCTCTTTGAATGTTTCGTTAACTTCATTGGCCTTCCCAGACTTGCAGAGACCATTAAGGACCGAATTGTATGTGATAGCATCAGGGGTGATGCCATATGTCCACATCCTTTCAACAAGCTGAAGAGCACTGTCCAGCTTCAACCTCTTGCAGTACCCATCAATCAATGTGTTGAAGGTGAACACATCAGGAAGGTATCCTTTCAAAATGGCATCGTTCATCACAACTGTGGCATCCAAAATATTCCCCATTTTGCACAGCCCATTGATAACAATGTTGTATGTCCAAATGTCAGGATGACAGCCGTCCTCAGACATCTCATTCATGACCTGCAAGGCCTGCAAGATCAGCCCCTGGCGGCAGAGTCCCTTGATAAGAGAATTGTACACTACCAGATCAGGTTTCAGCTCTTTTGCTTGAGCCTCATTAAACAGCTCCAGCGCCCTCTCGATATCACCCTCGGCACATAGGCCATTGATCAAGGAGCAATATGTGACCCGGTCCGGTACAAAACCTTTAAAGACAGCATCCTTAAGGAGCTCAGTAGCTTCTTGCATCATTCCCATCTTGCAGTACCCATCAATAATGGTGTTATAGGTGAAATCATCTGGCATGCAGCCCCGGTTCATCATCCTACGAAGGTAGTGTGCAGCCTCCTGGGCTCTGTAGCCCTTGCAAAGGCCACGGATGAGCGTGTTGTAGGTCACAACGTCTGGTGTGATGTAGTCGTCCATCTCTTTTACAAGTGCAACGGCTTGGGCCAACCTCTCACACTCGCAGAGCCCCCTGATCCAAATATTGTAGGTGAACCTGTTCACAGACATCCCCCGCTTGAGAACCTTGGCAAGAAGCGCGGCAGCCTCAGAGATATCCCCTTTCTTGCAAAGATCATGCAGGACCTTGTTAAAAGTGGCAGTATCAGGGAACACCGGTCCCAGGAGCATTTCATCGAACAGGCGACGTGCGTCGTGGGGGTGGCCGTGCGCATAGAGTCCAGACACGACGGTGCAGTACGCGACGGGTCTGGCATGGCATCCACGGTCTGGCAGAGTGCGCAGGAGTCTGAGGGCAACATGCGGGCGGGCGGTGAGGCAGAAGGAGCGGAGGCGGATGGTGTGGGTGTGAAGGTCGGGGACAAGGCCGGCGGCGAGCATCCTGACGTAGACCTTGTGGGCCTGGTGGTGGTGGTGGGAGTGGACGAGGGCGTCCATGATGGCGTTATAGGCGGGGGCTTGGGGCGGGCAGGCGAAGAGGTCCATGCGCTCGAAGGCGTCGACGGCGGCCTGGAGGCGGCCGGCCCGGGCGAAGGCGCGTATGGAGGCGACGTAGAGCGGGTGGAGGGAGGCGGGGGCGAGGGCCGAGCGCGCGGAGGCGAGGGCGGCGTGGACGGCATCGACGCGGCCGGTGGAGGCGAGGCGGTGGATCAGAGCGCCGTACGCCGGGGCCGTCAAAGCGGCGGCTTCGCCTGGCATTCGCCGATATCGAATTCGCGCGCGCGCACGGCAACGGCTGACACTGCTCTTCTGAGTTTCTGATGCTGCTGCATGTCAATGTTCTACTGGGCTGGACTTGAAAGCCTACGTTAACAATTATGATTTTTAAATATGTTCATGAATTACAGGAACTATTCAGGTTTCTTTAAAACACATGAATTCGTAAAAAAAAATTGTTGATGAATTTAAACCTTTTTTATGCATTTAAAAATATTCATGAATTAGAAAAATTAAAAGAAATGGGAAAAAAGAAATAAAATCAAACAAAAAACTATATAAAAGCAAAAAAAATGTAGGGAAAAACCAATCTATGAATGAGGAAAAGAAAACCAATTAATAAACTGTCAACTTGTAGCTAGAAAAATCTAAAATAGCCATCCCAGAGATTAGCCACCTGCCCGGTGTGGTGTGGTACAAGACAAGAGACAAGAGAAAGAACAAGACAAAAACCTAAGTGGCCAAACATAATGGAGGAAGGAGTATGTGATTTGTACCAAAAGAGTATTTATTATTGGCGAGCGCTACAAATCAACCGGATAATTTGGGCCAGTTTTAAACCGCCCTCGTAGCCGTCGGATCGCGCCATCAACAGGCGTTCGATCCGTTCTTCTCGAGCGGCACATCCTAACTCGCGTCCTACTCCCGCACGCAGGACCGCATCTCCGGTTACGCCCATGGCAACATCAACTCGCAGCTCCGAAGAAACCTTACACATCAGCTTCCAACAACCAATGACTGCGCCATCGTGGCCTCGCGTGCTGCAACGCAGCTCAGCCGCCGGCCATGGCAGCGACTCGTCGCCTCTTCCTGTTGCAACGCAGCTCCACCAGTCCGCCATGGCAGCAATGTCGTCGTAGCATCATGTGCTCCAATGCAGCTTCGTCGCCGTCCATGGCCCGCCTCGCCGCACACACTGTCGGAGTTGCGCCAGCCACAACATGGTCGACGCTTCAATGCAGCGTCGCCGCCTCGACTTGCCGCGCCCCTGTAACAGCGCTGTAGGATCTTGAAGTATGTCTAGAGGGCGGTGATTAGACTACTTGACCAAATAAAAACTTAACCTTTTCCCAATTTTAGTCTTTGGCAGATTTTAGCAAACTTAGCACAAGTCAAGCAATCTTAACACAATTCAAGCAAGCATGCAAAGAGTATATGAGCAGCGGAAAATAAAGCATGCAACTTGCAAGAATGTAAAGGGAAGGGTTTGGAGATTTCAAACGCAATTTAGAGACACAGTGATTTTTGAGCCATGGTTCCGATAGATGGTGCTATCGTACATCCACGTTGATGGAGACTTCAACCCACGAAGGGTAACGGCTGCGCGAGTCCATGGAGGGATCCACCCAAGAAGGGTCCACGAAGAAGCAACCTTGTCTATCCCACCATGGCCGGCGCCCACGAAGGACTTGCCTCACTAGCGGTAGATCTTCACGAAGTAGGCGATCTCCTTGCCCTTACAAACTCCTTGGTTCAACTCCACAATCTTGTCGGAGGCTCCCAAGTGACACCTAGCCAATCTAGGAGACACCACTCTCCAAGAAGTAACAAATGGTGTGTTGATGATGAACTCCTTGCTCTTGTGCTTCAAATGATAGTCTCCCCAACACTCAACTCTCTCTCACAGGATTTGGATTTGGTGGAAAGAAGATTTGAGTGGAAAGCAACTTGGGGAAGGCTAGAGATCAAGATTCATATGGTAGGAATGGAATATCTTGGTCTCAACACATGAGTAGGTGGTTCTCTCTCGGAAATGGTAAGTTGGAAGTGTAGGTTTGTTCTGATGGCTCTCTCCATGAATGAAGAGGAGGTGGAGGGGTATATATAGCCTCCACACAAAATCTAACCATTACACACAATTGACCAATCTCGGTGGAACCGAATCAACAAACTCGGTCAGACCGATTTAGTAAACCTAGTGACTGTTAGGGTTTTCAGTGGGACCGACATGCAACTCGGTAGGACCGATATGGTTAGGGTTAGGGCATAACGTAATCTCGGTGAGACCGATTACACAAACTTGGTGAGACCGATTTTGGTAATAAGCTAACCAGAGAGTTGGTCGGGTAAACTCGGTGGGACCGGTTCGCTCTTTTCGGTGAGACCGAAATGTTACGAAAGGGAAACACATAGTTTACATTGCAATCTCGGTGGGACCGATCACTCATCTCGGTGAGACCGAAACGTTACGAAGGGAAACAGAGAGATTACAATCCCATCTCAGTGAGACCGAGATCCCTATCGGTGAGACCGATTTGCCTAGGGTTTGTGGCAGTGGCTATGACATCTAAACTCGGTGGCGCCGGATAGAAAGAATCGGTGGGGCCGAGTTGGACTTTAGGTTTAGGTAATATGTGAATGTGGGAAAGTAGTTGAGGGTTTTGGAGCATATCACTGAGCACTATGAAGCAAGAACCTCATTAAGCAACACCTCATCCCTCCTTGATAGTATTGGCTTTTCCTATAGACTCAATGTGATCTTGGATCACTAAAATATAAGATGTAGAGTCTTGAGCTTGAAGCTTGAGCCAATCCTTTTATCCTTAGCATTTTGAGGGATCCACTTTTTCTCATCCATGCCATGTCATTAATTGAGCTTTCCTGAAATATTTGTCTTGGAATAGTATTAGCTCAATGAACTATATGTTGTTAGGAATTACCAAAACCACCTAGGGATAGTTGCACTTTCAATCTCCCCCTTTTTGGTAATTGATGACAACATATAGATCAAAGCTTCGACAAAAGATAATAAGATTGAAAAACATCGTCGCTTTGAGAAGTATGTGAAATGTGAGAGCTCCCCCTAAATTTGTGCATAGTTTAAGATTTGCTTTGGACTGCAAATGCACATAGAGTTAGGTTCATGGGGTACTCTCCCATGTCACATACATCTTGGTGGAGCGCTAAAAAATGATAATATTCAAAATACATGCACTCATCACCAAGCAAAGTGAATGATCATATAGAGATAAAAAGGATAATGTCATCCAACAAGCATTAATGTAGCATATGATCAAACACATGACCATCATTGTATCACACAGGCAATAAAGTATCTCAAGCAAGCGAAAGCAAATAAAGTTCAACCACAAAGACAAGAGAGAACAAAAGCAAACTCTCTCTCTCTCGAAGCCTATGATCTATGCATTTTTCTCCCCCTTTGGCAACAAGTTACCAAAAAGTTCCTAGAAAATGCATAGTACTATGTCGTCTCTCAGGCTTGGTCTTGATGTGGTGGTGTAGATATGACTCCAAGGACGAAGGCTTCAGTTGATGAAGTTGGAGCTGGTGGAGTAGATGCTGGAGCTGGTGGCACTGAAGCTGTAGCAGGTGCAGATGATGTTGCTCTTGTGTCTGTCACAAGCACAGCAGCTGATCTCTGAGCTCTAGGCACTCTAGAAAATGCCTCAGTGGTTGTCTTGCCCTTCCTCTCCTGCATGTCATCTTGGAGTTTCTCAACAACAGACTGGATCTTAGTTACTTTCACATCTAAGTCATAGAACTTCTGCTCCATGATCCTCTCTAGGCTCTCCTAGTTTTGAGTCAAGGTGGCCAACCCTTTCTCAATCCTTAGAGTGGATGCTATCAAGTAACCAAGCTGGTCTTGTTTGCTCTTCAGGAAGTACTCAGATGCCTCATCAATTGTTGGCATCTTGGCAGCCTTCTCAGTCCTTGCCTTCTCCTTCTTTGCTTGTGCTTGCACTGAAGATGGTTCATTTTCATCCATAACCACTTGGTTGTCCTCAAAGTCTGGATAAATAGGCATGTGTTCCTTAACCAACAAGTAAGTGCCAGTGCCCATCTTGGAGTTAATCAGCTCCTGGATCTGTGGGGCATACCCACAACTTCTCTTCTGGTCTGCAGCTATCCTCTTGATAGTTTCAACAATGAGGCTCATGACCTTGAACTTTTGAGGCACATCAAATAAGTGTAGCAGATTAATAGCATGGCCTCTGATCATGTTATGATCACCTGACTTGGGAAAGAGTGTGTGCCTGAGGATCCAGTTGATGGTTGGCAGTCCTGACAGAAGGAAATGTACAGATCCAAACTTGTGAGTTTCAACAGCATCATCTGGGATCTCCTTGTACATGTGTGCCATAGTGTTGTGATCCATCTTCTTCTTGGCATAGACATCCAAGTCATCCTCTTTCTCCTTTAGTGCATTGATCAGATTGTCCCATTCTTCAATAGTAGACTGGTACCTTGTACCTTCAGACATCCAAACTATTCTGCCATCTGGATAGAAGTGTGCTGTGGAGTAGAATTGCATTATGAGCTCATCATTCCACTTTGTGAGCTTCTGCCCAACAAAGTTATCCACTCCACAACCCTTGAAACTGTCAAACACTCTTGGGTAGTGTTCCTCATTCTCCTTGATGTATTTTCAATCTACCCATCTCATATCACAGACTATTGGTTTCTTGTCCAGCAACACAGTCTCATAGAAGTCCTGTTGTTCCTTTGTATGGAACCTGTAGTCCACAGCAGTCCTCCTGACTACATAAGGATCAGTCAACCTCCACTGTCTGAGTCATGCATCCTTTCTCAGCTTCATGTTCTCAGCAACAGGATGAGCATCATTATGATCTGGAATTTTAGGCTTCAACTTTCTCAGAACATGCTCTTCATCATATTCTTCTTCTGCAACAACTTCAGGCACTGGGGCCTTGTTCTTTTCAGCAGCTGGGATGTTCCTGGTATTCCTCTTTGGTGCAGACTTGGGCTTGGAAGCAGCCTTAGGTGCTTCTTTGGGCTTTGATGAAGCAGCCCCTGACCCGATGGCATCTCCCATGAGCTTCTGAGCTTTGGGAGCTGGAGCAGCAGCCTCTTCTTCTTCCTCTTCCATCATGGAAGGCTTCCCAATAACCCTGACCATGGTCTTCTTGACCCTTTCCTTCCTCTTCTTTTCAGCCACTTTTGGCTCCTTGGGTTCTGATCTCTCAGTTTCCTGAGTTGATGCTCTGACTTTCAGCATAGGA